ATTAATATAGAAGTGTGCTCATCCAATCGCTTTGGGAGAAAATAATCTTAAGTTAAGCATCATACCATAAAATCAAAAAAATAGAACTTTAAAACACTTACTCCCTCTTAATTTCCAATTTTTTTACTTGAAATTTGTTCTAGACTAGATTAATATATTGTCCTTCTTTGTAAATAAAATTATTTTTCTATTTTAATTTTATTGTTATCCTCTTGACTTTAATTAATCATTTGAATATAAAAGTCTCTATTTATGCAAAAATAACTATTATTATTATCGTTATTACAAGAGAGATGAAGGAAAAGCGCAACTTTTCAAAAAAAAAAATATATTTGGTCTAATATTAATTTTAATTTATTAAACAGCGAAACTGTTGAAAACTATCCGCGAACAAATACTTAGACGTTATCATGTTAGAATTTCGACTAATGAAATTTCCATCCATATTCATTTTCTGCATGAGAGTACGATTACAACTCAGATTGCTTGGCTGCCAAGCTAGCAAATTATTAAAGGACAGTTTTGTCCTAGGGCGGTGACTTAGAGACACAACATTTTTATATTATATTTTTATATAATTCTCATATGTTATGAAATAAGTAGATACATTTAATATTATAGGTCTGAAATAAATGAAAAGAGTCAATAATTTAAATGACGGTTTTGTCTTAGGGTGGTGATTTAGAGACACAACATTTTTATACCATATTTTTATATAATTTTTATATATTATTAAATGAGTAGAGACATTTAATATCATAAGTCTCAAATGAGTGAAAAGAGTCAATCATTTAAATGATATGTTAGATTATTTAAAGCTGGTAAAAAAAATTATCTTAAAATCATTTTCTTTTGTATTAAGACGGTGATATAGGGACATATCACATTTTTATAAAATTTTTGCATGTCTTTATCTTGATGAAATCAAAGCAAAGAAAAATCAGATCCTTATGTCGAACAGTTGAAGGTATAATTATGCAAATTGTAAAATAGAACCCTTACTTTAGCTTCTATATTACGTCTGATGATGAACCATCTAAGAAATAATCATCTTCTCTTTAAATTTCACGTCTTTTTTTAAAATTCTAATTTAAAAACATTAATATAAAAGTTTAAATTCTTAATTATTAAGATATCTAATATAATAGAGACAAGGGCAACATCCAATAGGTTAAAAGAAAAGCATAGTTTTTCCAATCGATTTTTATGTCAACTAGTGCAGCTCTTCCTTCAACACCTAGAATTGGTTTCATAAACTTTAGAAATTGGTGAACTAACAACATTGATTAAATCTTAACAACATGGATACTTGAATTTGGGAATTAATTGTATATTTTAATATAATTAGTTTTCAAATTTATATATTAATATTTAATAAAATAAATTTTTAAATTTTAAATTAAGTTTAAAATTTTTAAATATAAGAATCAATATTTAATAAAGTAGA